CAGCACTGCGCTGGAGGGTGGGACAGTCCCTCCCTTGACCGGCCGGCTGTGCTGCACTTCTCGAGCCCCAGGGCACACTTGGCCCTTCTGGCTGCCAGGGCATACTGTTGGCTCATGTTCAACTTGCCATCAACCCAATCCACCAGATCTCTTCCCATGGGTCTGCTCTGCAGCCTCTCATCCCCTAGTTTGTACATATAACCAGGATTACCCCATCCCAGGTGGAAAATTCAGCACTTGATCTTGTTACGTTTCCTATGGTTGGTGAGTGCCTTGGAGCCATCAGCCAGTTGCCCACCCAATATCTTACGGAGTTTGTCTAGCTGTGTGATGGACAGTTTATCCAGGATACTGTGCAACACAGCATCAAAAGCTTTGCTAAAATCTAAAAATACAACTACCGCCTTCTGGTAGTCAGCTAGATGGGTGGCCTAATCACAAAAGGAAATTAAGGACTTTAGGCAGGACCTTACCTTTGTGAACTTACATAGGCTATGACTGGGTTGTCTCTCAAATGCTTTTCAGTAACTCCCAGAATAACTTCTCCACAGTTTTAGCAGGCACTGAAGTGAGACTGACAGGCCTGTAATTAACAGGGTCTTCTATTCTTTCCCTTCTTGAAAACTGGGGCAATGTTTGCCAGATTCTAGTCACCTGGCACCAGTCCAGATGCCCAAGACCATTGAAAAATAATGGAGAGGTCCCACGACGACTTTCAACAGCTCTTTCATACCCTGGGAATCCCATTGGGCCCCACAGACTCACGTGAATCCCGCTGGAGTGGCAAGTCTCAAGTAATACATCCTCCCCCAGCCATGGTCTTCCAACACAGGGCTCCAGGGGTCCCAGGGCCCATCATCTGTGTTGAAGACAGAGGTGAAGAAGGCATTACTTGTCTACAGTTTGTCTACATCCTTATTTGTGAGGTGACTAACCTCGTCAGGCAGTGGATCGATGTTTTCTCTGATTCTTCCTTTTATAAGCTGGTTTCAGTTTCTCATTTTTTAAACACTCTACATAGCTCGATCATAATGTTAGACAGTAAATATTTCAGTATTTTCTATTTTCTCATCATGCGTTACTCAGCTTTGAATAACTCAAGCAATACAATTTAGTAAATTCTAACAGCATAGTCTTCAAAGCGTTTCAGTGGAAATACAAAGGTACTTACCCTCAAGTTAGACCGTATCAGTGATCTAGCTGTAAATTTCCCTTATTAGCAAAATTAGTCCCGTGAAAACAGACAGCTGTCTTTTCTGAGAAATGTTCAGTTGCAAGCTTAGTAAAATCAACCAAGTGGCCAGCCAGCTCATCTCGCCCTTTCTCCCATGTAATGCAGGTAGCTGGGCACAGGAAAGAGAAGTTCTGAATCTACTATTATTTTTGAAATCCTATCTATTTCTGCATACATTCAATTAGAGAAGCCTCTTTTTCAGGCAACCATCCATGGTAACCGCGCTCCTGAGCCATAACAATACTTGGGATGGGGAAGTGTTCCCTCATTCCAATAAGCAGCTGCAAAAATGCTTCCTATGAAAGGATGTCAAAAAAGTAACCAACACACATTTCTCTACTATCTGCTTCGGGAAAAGATAATTTATTAACTATATTTAAAGACAAATCAAGCTGGTGATTCCCAAATGACCTAGAAGGAAGATGATGTGTACAATAAATCCCCACTTTTCTACATAAGCAGAATATGTAGAATAATGTATAAATACCCTTTCCCCAAAAAGGACACCCAGCATTACACCCCCTCCAAGCCCATGCACAATCAACTATTTTAACTATTTTGGTTCAAGACATTCCATCTTAATGCTTCAAAATATTAGACTCTGGGGCATAAGGTAACGCAGTGCTGGAAAAATTATTGCATTATAGAGAGACCACTGCAAACTGTTACCTGTAAGAACTTTTTTTCCTACTATTTTATTCAACCAGGAGCCCATTTGAAAGTTTTGTATTAATATTATAATTAAATAAAATCAGAGGATGAACAACAGGCACCACAGTGGTAATAACAGCATCTCATTCTATCTCCTCCCTAAGTTAATTATGTAGGTACTGAATAAAAACTTGCTTAATGGAAAAAAAAAAAATCTTACTAAATGGAAAAGAAAACCCTCATTAATTTTCATCACCGACAGGAGCAGAGCCAAAGAACAGACAAGTTTGGCAACCAGACTACGTATCACCTGAACTACTAGCTTTCAATGCAGAGGTAGTGAATCCAGGAGAACTCAAAATACAACTGGCTGCTTGTACTCAAGTAGCAAACGATCTGTTGACCAGTCGACAAAAGTCTGCAAAATTTCATTTTAGTAATCTTGTTAGAAATTAAGATCTTAAATAGCCTTTGGTTTTCCATGTTTTGACCAGATTTCCATTTATGCAGATCATAACTCACACCTGATCCAGCTCTACCTTGGCAAACTCACTTAGTAGAGTAACAAGAATGGTAAACATCATCATAAATCCAATTACTGTAGGATCACAGAAAGGTTTGGGCTGTAAGGGACCTTTAAAGGTTAACGTAGTCCAACCCCCCTGCAATAAGCCCAGATATCTTCAACTCTACATTAGGTTGCTCAGAGCCCCGTCCAACCTGACCTTGAACACTTCCAGGGATGGGGCAACTACCACTCTCTGGGCAACCTCTTCCACCCTCCATCATAAAAAATTACTTCCTTAAATCCACTCTGAATCTCCCCTCTTTTAGAAAACCATTACCCCTTGTCATATTGCAACAGGCTCTGCTAAAAAGTCTGTCCTCATCTTTATTATAAGCCTCCTTTATATAGAGAAAGGCTGCTATAAGGTCTCCCCAGAGCCTTCACAGGCTTGTGCAGTTGGCTGCACAACCCCAACTCTCTCAGTCTGTCCTCATGGGAGAGGGGTTCCATCCTGATGACCATTTTTGTGGAACCACTCCAACAG